CCATGTTATTACCTCGTACCCCTGCACATCGACTCGGTACTGGTACTAACTGTATATAGCCATGTTATTACCTCGTACCCCTGCACATCGACTCGGTACTGGTTCTCCCTGTATATAGCCATGTTATTACCTCGTACCCCTGCACATCAACTCAGTACTGGTACTAACTGTATATAGTAGCCATGTTATTTTTACTCATTATTGTTATTCGTTCTTCACTGTATATTTATTCCTTGTGTCACTATTTATACAGTGAGGGAACAAAGTATTTGATCCCCTACTGATTTTGTACGTTTGCCCACTGACAAAGACATGATCAGTCTATAATTTTAATGGTAGGTTTATTTGAACAGTGAGAGACAGAATAACAACAAAAAAATCCAGAAAAACGCATGTAAAAAATGTGATAAATTGATTTGCATTTTAATGAGGGAAATAAGTATTTGACCCCTCTGCAAAACATGATTTAGTACTTGGTGGCAAAACCCTTGTTGGCAATCACAGAGGTCAGACGTTTCTTGTAGTTGGCCACCAGGTTTGCACACATCTCAGAAGGGATTTTGTCCCACTCCTCTTTGCAGATCTTCTCCAAGTCATTAAGGTTTCGAGGCTGACGTTTGGCAACTCGAACCTTCAGCTCCCTCCACAGATTTTCTATGGGATTAAGGTCTGGAGACTGGCTAGGCCACTCCAGGACCTTAATGTGCTTCTTCTTGAGGCACTCCTTTGTTGCCTTGGCCGTGTGTTTTGGGTCATTGTCATGCTGGAATACCCATCCACGACCCATTTTCAATGTCCTGGCTGAGGGAAGGAGGTTCTCACCGAAGATTTGACGGTACATGGCCCCGTCCAATGTCCCTTTGATGCGGTGAAGTTGTCCTGTCCCCTTAGCAGAAAAACACCCCCAAAGCGTAATATTTCCACCTCCATGTTTGACGGTGGGGATGGTGTTCTTGGGGTCATAGGCAGCATTCCTCCTCCTCTAAACACGGCGAGTTGAGTTGATGCCAAAGACCTCTATTTTGGTCTCATCTGACCACAACACTTTCAACCAGTTCTCCTCTGAATCATTCAGATGTTCATTGGCAAACTTCAGACGGCCCTGTATACAGTGGGGGAAAAAAGTATTTAGTCAGCCACCAATTGTGCAAGTTCTCCCGCTTAAAAAGATGAGAGAGGCCTGTAATTTTCATCATAGGTACACGTCAACTATGACAGACAAAATGAGAAAAAAAATCCAGAAAATCACATTGTAGGATTTTTTATGAATTTATTTGCAAATTATGGTGGAAAATAAGTATTTGGTCAATAACAAAAGTTTCTCCATACTTTGTTATATACCCTTTGTTGGCAATGACACAGGTCAAACGTTTTCTGTAAGTCTTCACAAGGTTTTCACACACTGTTGCTGGTATTTTGGCCCATTCCTCCATGCAGATCTCCTCTAGAGCAGTGATGTTTTGGGGCTGTCGCTGGGCAACACGGACTTTCAACTCCCTCCAAAGATTTTCTATGGGGTTGAGATCTGGAGACTGGCTAGGCCACTCCAGGACCTTGAAATGCTTCTTACAAAGCCACTCCTTCGTTGCCCGGGCTGTGTGTTTGGGATCATTGTCATGCTGAAAGATCCAGCCACGTTTCATCTTCAATGCCCTTGCTGATGGAAGGAGGTTTTCACTCAAAATCTCACGATACATGGCCCCATTCATTCTTTCCTTTACACGGATCAGTCGTCCTGGTCCCTTTGCAGAAAAACAGCCCCAAAGCATGATGTTTCCACCCCCATGCTTCACAGTAGGTATGGTGTTCTTTGGATGCAACTCAGCATTCTTTGTCCCCCAAACACGACGAGTTGAGTTTTTACCAAAAAGTTATATTTTGGTTTCATCTGACCATATGACATTCTCCCAATCCTCTTCTGGATCATCCAAATGCACTCTAGCAAACTTCAGATGGGCCTGGACATGTACTGGCTTAAGCAGGGGGACACGTCTGGCACTGCAGGATCTGAGTCCCTGGCAGCGTTGTGTGTTACTGATGGTAGGCTTTGTTACTTTGGTCCCAGCTCTCTGCAGGTCATTCACTAGGTCCCCCCGTGTGGTTCTGGGATTTTTGCTCACCGTTCTTGTGATCATTTTGACCCCACGGGGTGAGATCTTGCGTGGAGCCCCAGATCGAGGGAGATTATCAGTGGTCTTGTATGTCTTCCATTTCCTAATAATTGCTCCCACAGTTGATTTCTTCAAACCAAGCTGCTTACCTATTGCAGATTCAGTCTTCCCAGCCTGGTGCAGGTCTACAATTGTGTTTCTGGTGTCCTTTGACAGCTCTTTGGTCTTGGCCATAGTGGAGTTTGGAGTGTGACTGTTTGAGGTTGTGGACAGGTGTCTTTTATACTGATAACAAGTTCAAACAGGTGCCATTAATACAGGTAACGAGTGGAGGACAGAGGAGCCTCTTAAAGAAGAAGTTACAGGTCTGTGAGAGCCAGAAATCTTGCTTGTTTGTAGGTGACCAAATACTTATTTTCCACCATAATTTGCAAATAAATTCATAAAAAATCCTACAATGTGATTTTCTGGATTTTTTCTCCTAAATTTGTCTGTCATAGTTGACGTGTACCTATGATGAAAATTACAGGCCTCTCTCATCTTTTTAAGTGGGAGAACTTGCACAATTGGTGGCTGACTAAATACTTTTTTTCCCCACTGTATGTGCTTTCTTGAGCAGGGGGACCTTGCGGGCGCTGCAGGATTGCAGTCCTTCACGGCGTAGTGTGTTACCAATTGTTTTCTTGGTGACTATGGTCCCAGCTGCCTTGAGATCATTGACAAGATCCTCCCTCCTCATGATCATTGCAACTCCACGAGGTGAGATCTTGCATGGAGCCCCAGGCAGAGGGAGATTGACAGGTCTTTTGTGTTTCTTCCATTTGCGAATAATCGCACCAACTGTTGTCACCTTCTCACCAAGCTGCTTGGCGATGGTCTTGTAGCCCATTCCAGCCTTGTGTAGGTCTACAATCTTGTCCCTGACATCCTTGGAGAGCTCTTTGGTCTTGGCCATGGTGGAGAGTTTGGAATCTGATTGATTGATCGCTTCTGTGGACAGGTGTCTTTTATACAGGTAACAAGCTGAGATTAGGAGCACTCCCTTTAAGAGTGTGCTCCTAATCTCAGCTCGTTACCTGTATAAAAGACACCTGTCCACAGAAGCGATCAATCAATCAGATTCCAAACTCTCCACCATGGCGAAATCTTTCTGATTGAGAGGGGGTCAAATACTTATTTCCCTAATTAAAATGCAAATCAATTTATAACATTTTTGACATGTGTTTTTCTGGATTTTTTTGTTGTTATTCTGTCTCTCACTGTTCAAATAAAACTACCATTAAAATTATAGACTGATCATTTCTTTGTCAGTGGGCAAACGTACAAAATCAGCAGGGGATCAAATACTTTTTTCCCTCACTGTATATATATATATATATATATATATTTTTTTTTGTTATCTTTAACTCTGCATTGTTGGAAAATGACCAATAAGTAAGCATTTCACTTTTAGTCTACACCTTTTGCTTACGAAGAATGTGACAGCTAAAATTGTATTTGATAAATGAATTAAGCGATAAGGCCCGAGGAGGTGTGGTATATGGCCATTATACCACAGCTAAGTGCTGTTCTTAAGCACGACGCAACCCAGCCGTTAGCCGTGGTATATTGGCCATATACCACAACCCCCCGAGGTGCCTTATTGCTATTATAAACTGGTTACCAACGTAATTAGAACAGTACAAATAATTTTTGGGTCATACCCCTGGTATAAGGTCTGATATGGACAATGCAAATAGTCTGGGTAGCCATGATTAGCTGTTCAGGAGTCTTATGGCTTGGGGGTGGAAGCTGTTAAGAAGCCTTTTGGACCTAGACTTGGTGCTCCGGTACCGCTTGCCGTGTGGTAGCAGAGAGAAAAGTCTATGACTAGGGAGTCTTTGACAATTTTTAGGGCCTTCCTCTGACACCGTCTGGTATAGAGGTCCTGGATGGCAGGAAGCTTGGCCCCAGTGATGTACTGGGCCGTACGCACTACCCTCTGTAGTGCCTTGCAGTCAGAGGCCGAGCAGTTGCCATACCAGGTGGTGATGCAACCAGTCAGGATGCTCTCGATGGTGCAGCTGTAGAACTGTTTGAGGATCTGAGAACCCATGCCAAATCTTTTCAGTCTCCTGAGGGGGAATAGGCTTTGTTGTGCCCTCTTCACGACTGTCTTGGTGTGTTTGGACCATGATAGTTTGTTGGTGATGTGGACACCAAGGAACTTGAAGCTCTCAACCTGTTCCACTACAGCCCATTGATGAGAATGGGGGCGTGCTCAGTCCTCTTATTTTTTTATTGTTATTATTTTTGTTTGTTTTGTAATTTTTTTATATGTATATTTTCCTGTAGTCCACAATTAGGCTGCTTTCCAAATAGGTCAAGGTCTATATTGTTCATGTGAAAAATGAATTAAAGATAAGTCAAAACAGACACAAACAGTGCATTGGTAAAGAGCTAAATGCTGAATATTTGACCTCCTATTCATCCTCTGTAAAATTGTATTTAGGGTGAAGTGGAGTGCTCACTGCTCCCATCAGCTATAATTTGACACTACATTCTCGCGATAAGAACCTCGAATAATACTTATATCCCTCCGCGCTTAAAACGCTTTACCCTGGAATATGTGTTTTATTATTTAACTGTCCCGTATAAATGTCGTGTAATAACCCATATACATAATCAGAAATCATCTAAACGATTTACTTGATTGTGGTGTGTCCAAACCCTTTTTATTGCAACTCATTTACTGTGAGATGTTTTAAACCATTTCCTAGGCTCTATCATGAGCTCGCAACAGTGCAAAATATATGCATGAAAGCCATTTTGGCTCGAATCATTCATGCGAACTATTAATATCCTGTCGCTTGTCGAGAGCCGAAATGACGTCAAATGCACCGCAATGTTGTCGGCGGGCAATCTATGGGGCTGAAACATCAGTGATGGATGCGCATGTAGGCGGAAGGGTTCCTACAAACAGCGCAGAGTGAGTGGTTTGGTAGCGGCTGCAGCAGGAGGAAGGACGGTGGTTCTACCCCTAGTATCTTTCAGTTTAGCCAGAAAATTATATCGGTGGGCCCATTTTGATAACAATTGATGATTTGAGTATTAGACCAAGGTATTATTAGAGATATATTTTGAAGAATTTCCCTCCGGACAGAGACGGGAACCGCCATTTTAATCGAGTATAACACGTTTTCGGTGACGGCAGCGCTAGCACAACACAATGGCTCTGAAAAGAATTCACAAGGTAAGAAGGAAGTCAACGACAAGGCCCAATGTTTCGCAGTTACAATAAATAAACGATATATTTGAATGTTGTCTTGTAGATGTCACCTGAATGATGTCGGTATTACATGTTGTGGGTTTAAAAGCTTGTTATCCACGGAGGTACGGCTAATGCTGGGCTGACGGCGTGAACCAATGCGCCTCGTTCGGCGTTCGATCAACATTTTGGGCCTCCACCTTTTACTACCAGCCTGCCAACTAACGTTAGCTAACTAACTTGGCTAGTCATTTTGTTATCTTTATCCAGAGGAGATCAGTTTATTTTACATCTTTAATATCGTATAATCCAAAACAACTGGTTTACATAATAGTCGTTAGCTAGCAAACGGCTTCTTTAGTTTGCTAGCTAGCTAACTAGTACCATGGCTAATGCAGTCGGCTACTAGTTAGCTTGCTAGTTAGTAACTAGCCAGCTAAATATATGTATTTACACATTTACACAAATTCACTAATCACTTAGCTAGCTACCTAATTAGGTGCTAGCTTGTTAGGTTACGGATGGCATATTTTGCCCTAACTATCTAAAACAGTTTTCTAGCCTTCCACTCCGTTGTAATTTGACATATTAGTGTCAAATTGGGCCCCTACGAGTAACGGTAACAAACTGTCCAGATAACAAGATGAGTTATACATTTTTTCTCATGTCAGCTAACTACATAATGGAGCTAGCTAGCAAACCAGTAAGTTGGATGTTACCTAGATGTATCACGAGATGGGCCTTTTTTTGGGGGACATGTTATTGTCTTCACTCATAATAGTAATCGAGCCAGAAAGCGTGGCAGTTAGCTAACATTTGGGCATTGTTAACCAGCTAAAGCTACGGATTCATTACTTTTGGTAGTCATGTTGACAAAAGATAGCTAGCCGTGTAGGTCCCAGGCAATCCCAGTAGTAGCTTCCATGACGTTGACTTAACTCATATCATGGTTATGATCTCAGGTTGTCACTTGGGAAATATTTTTTTTGTTATGTAACTTTTAGTGAGTTCATTTTCGATTACCAAAGCTCAGTAGAATGAAACTTTGTGAGATCAGGCAGTTAAATCTAACAATGTTTTACAGTTTTTAGGTGAACTCCTGTTACCTGTTTTGTATCTGTTGTAAACTCTGATGTCACATTACTAGTGAAGACATGATTTGTAGAGACAGCGAGGTGTGTTAGGGCCAGTAACCAAAGGGTCGCTGGTTCGAATCCCTGAGCCGACTAGGCTGAAGAATCTGTTGATAAAGGCACTTAACCCTAATTGCTCCTGTAAGTTGCGCTGGAGCCTCTGCTAAATGACTGAAATGTAACGGTATTGAACAGTCCAATTTGGATTGTTCAATAGATTAATAGAATGTGATTGACATGATGAGCATTTGGCTGCCCTTTTGCAGACAAGTACATTCAACTAGTATTGCCATTGCTAACCACTTATATTCTCCTCTCAGGAGTTGAATGACTTGGCACGGGACCCACCAGCCCAGTGTTCTGCAGGACCAGTAGGAGATGACAGTAAGTAGTTCCTCATCAGGCAACCCAACAATACATGTCAGTTATTGCTTTTGTTCTGACATCCTGTTCAACATTTTAGGCTTCCTCAGCTTTCCACATGATTTGTAACAAACAAGTAGGTTAGATGCAGATAATCCATAATTTTTCTGAAATGTGTTGAGTCTGGTTTATCAGGAAAATCTCTCAACCAACCAGAACCACAGAGTATCTGGACTGCTTATCTCAAAATGATTACCTTGGTGCCACATTACGTTTGTTCTAGAATCTACAGGCTCAGTGAAATGCCTTCCCTTTAAATCAGTTTCACTTTTGGTATTGGGTCAGGTACCAGGAAGTCTGTGCTAACTTACCTATGGTTCCAGTAAGGCAGGTGACGTAAGACGTCCGTCATACAGGAGCAGCATGTCGCTCTGTAACTGCCTTACCATACCTGACCTAACCTGGACACCATTGATACTAGATTATGTTATTAATTGATTGGTCGGATTGCAAATGTTCCCCTGTATCTTACAAATTACCCCCCAAAAACATTTTTTTTACAGTGAGATTTATTTAGCTTATTGTGTGGAATGAACACCCAGTTTGTGAACATGACCACTGCAACCCCTTCTATCAAGCATACACGAGAGCATCATTGAACATACTTCTGATGTTCTGAAGTCCCTCTTGTAGGCAAATGTCTAAGATTACATAGTGATTCAAAGCCATTAACAAACTGAGTGATTCACCTAGACTAGTGTCAAATGCCATCTGATATCTGTCAAATTGCTGCTAAATGTCTTCTCATGGAATACAGTGATGAAACAAATTGGCTTATCGTACCAGTCTTGTCTCTAGAAAACTAAGTGATTCCCCTGTTTTGTCTGCCTGCTTGAGAATCACTAGCTCTCAACCACTCTCCGGCAACCATCTGATCTGGTATATACTGCCCTGTGCTCTCTGTGATGTGCACAGCTAGACTAGTTGTTGTTTTGAAAGGAAAATGTGACGAATTTGAGCTTTGTCACCCTTGTCCACAAATTGTTTTGGGCTTATAACATCCCAGATAGGCTAGAGTAGCAACCTGGGTCTTCCCAAGAAAATGGTTGTCTAATGGTCCTAAAAACTCTGTTCTCTTATTCCTTATAGATTTGAACAAATGTCTGCATTATGCCTCAGGGTGGTATTGGTGCCTTTGTTTAAAATGTTCTGAAGTTCTAGTTAGTTCTCTTTTAGTTGAGAGCTTTGCATTCAGTCTTATCTTTAGATGGCATTCGGCCACTCCCCTGAGTTTTTAGGATGGATTACGTCAGCAATATAACATTTGCTTGAATTCAAATATCCATTTGCTTAACTACTGCACTGACATCATGATATTACATCAATCCATTTTTATACTGCTGGAATGGTATTCTAAATCTTATAGAATGAATATCCAGCCCCATTCTGGACTTTGCCTCAGCCTGACTTCATAGCATTCATACTCACACTCTCGCTACATCTGACTGACTACATCTGACTGACTACACCTGACGGTTTCACTTCTCTGTTTTTCAGTGTTTCACTGGCAAGCCACGATAATGGGACCTGTAAGTACTGTGACGACAATCCCTCTACCATAAATATTAGCTTATATTATTTTCTATAGGACAGTGTTTCTCACTGTGATTAAATGATACTAAAGACCGGTGAAGCTCTGCTAAGGTTGACTTGATACCAATAGTGCTGAATCTTCTACTCTCTCTAACAGAACGACAGTCCTTATCAGGGTGGGGTATTCTTCCTGACCATTCACTTTCCCACAGACTACCCCTTCAAACCGCCAAAGGTGAGCCAGAAATGTGTGTGTGACACTGAAGTGACATCCACTTATCATAGTTACTCATACACACCTGCACACACATGCATTTGTTTCTGCATGTTTTCTCTGTGATGGCCGTGACATGTTTTCTCTGTGATGGCCGTGACATGTTTTCTCTGTGATGCTCCTTTTCTGTACCTGTCATCTATTTTAGTTATTTCTTCCTCAATTCAACCACGTCTGTTCTGTTTGTTTCTCTGTGTGTGCAGGTTGCGTTTACCACAAGAATCTACCACCCAAATATCAACAGCAACGGCAGCATCTGTCTCGACATCCTGCGATCACAGTGGTCTCCCGCCCTCACCATCTCCAAAGGTACATAGTAGAATACACCGTACAATAGAGTAGAGGGAAGATGTGAATAAAACCGTTTGTTTTTATGTCACTGTAAGACCTTAAAATATGAATATGTCTTCTTTGCTGTTTGTTTTGTAACCTGTCTGTTGGGGTACCTGAGTGACTGACTGAACTTCCTCCTGTTTTTCTGTTGTTTTGTCACAGTAACTGCCTAACTCATTTATGTTCAGCTCTCCTTACCTTAGTCCTTAGCCGAACCATAAACATTGAACCTTGATGTCTTCCCTTAGTTCTCCTGTCAATCTGCTCTCTGCTGTGCGACCCAAACCCGGACGACCCCTTAGTACCGGAGATCGCCCGCATCTACAAGACGGACAGGGAAAAGTGAGTAACTAACTAAAGCTCTTGCTTCAGAGGATGGTGTACTATAGGAGGGCATAAAACCTCTTGAGTCCATGTGGTTAAACATAGGATTATTTTGTTAGATCCTTTGGATAATCCTCTGGGTATATGTCTGTATGCTACAACTGTTGAATGTGTTTGCGTATCCACATATATACTGAACAGAAATATAAACGCAACAATTTTGAAGATTTTACTGAGTTACAGTTCATGTAAGGAAATAAGTCAATCAAAATAAATTCATTAGGCCCTAATCTATGGATTTCACACGAATGGGTATACAGTTAGCATCTGTTGGTCACAGATACCTTAAAAAAAAAAAAAAGTAGGGGCGTGGATCAGAACCAGTCGGTGTCTGGTGTGACCACCATTTGCCTCATGCAGCGAGACACATCTCCTTCGTATAGAGTTGATTGTGGAATGTTGTCCCACTCCTCTTCAATGGCTGTGCGAAGTTGCTGGATATTGGCGGGAACTGGAACATGCTGTCGTACACGTCGATCCAGAGCATCCCAAACATGCTCAATGGGTGACATGTCTGGTGTGTGTATGCAGGCCATGGAAGAACTGGGAAATGTTCAGCTTCCAGGAATTGTTTACAGATCCTTGCGACATGGGGTTGTGCATTATCATGCTGAAACATGAGGTGATGGCAGCGGATGAATGGCACGACAATGGGCCTCAGGATCTCGTCACGGTATCTCTGTGCATTCGAATTGCCATCGATAAAATGCAATTGTTTTCGTTGTCCGTAGCTTATGCCTGCCCATACCATAACCCTACCGCCACCATAGGGCACTCTATTAACGTCGCCATACACATGGTCTGCGGTTGTGAGGTCGGTTGAATGTCCTGCCAGATTCTCTAAAACGATGTTGAAGGTGACTTATGGTAGAGAAATGAACATTCCATTCTCTGGCAACAGCTCTGGTGGACATTCCTGCAGTCAGCATGCCAATTGCACGCTCCCTCAAAACTTGAGACATCTGTGGAATTGTGTTGTGACACAACTGCACATTTTAGTGGCCTTTTATTGTCCCCAGCACAAGGTGCACCTGTAATGATCATGCTGTTTAATCAGCTTCTTGATATGCCACACGTGTCAGCTGGATGGATTATCTTGGCAAAGGAGATATGCTCACTAACAAGGACGTAAACTAATTTGTGCACAATTTGAGAGAATAAAGTTTTTTTTGCGTATGGAACATTTCTGGGATCTTTTATTTCAGCTCATGAAACATGGGACCAACACTTTACATGTTGCGTTTTATATTTTTGTTCAAGGTATTAATCTGGACACTTACTGTATTCATGAACAAGAAACTAACTCTCTTTTTCTCTTTGCTTCCAGGTACAACAGAATAGCTCGGGAATGGACACAAAAGTATGCAATGTAGTGTTGGAGTAGAATCATGGCAAAACCACCTCTACAGCCAAGGTTAGGGGAGCTTTGAAAGTAAAGAGAGAAAAGTTACAACGGATCTTGTTGGTTTCCATTGGAGTGCTTTCTTTGAGCCATGCCTCCCCTTAACCAGAGCACCTGTAAACTCCCTCTTTCCTGTCCTTACCCCTTTACGACCAATCCTCCGCCTCTCCACCCCACTTAACCTGGCAGCCATGGTGTACATATTCTCAAACTGCAATCGTACCCCCCCCCCCCCCCCCCCCCCCTTGCGCTCCTCTCACCCCCACCCCGCACTCCCCTCCTTATTCCTGATCATATTTCTGATGCAGGCTGGGCTACTCCTCTAAACCCCTGATGTTCCCCATAGGGCCCTGCCTGCACCCTCACTCCAAATGTTCTTGACTCTAAAAGCATTCCTTATCTGTATGACTAGGGGACTGTTCTATATCTTTTTTTGGGAGGGAAGGGTCTGAAATTGAAGGATTTTTACACTCTGTACCTTGTTTTGTCTCCTGATATCCCAGCTATATAGACGTGATTTCAGGAACGCTTTTCACATGTTGAGTCGAGGGCACTCGTGTATTTTGTATAATTGCAAAGGAGTTATTTTAAAATCATAACAGGCTATAAAATGGAAAACTGTATGGCCTTCTGGTCTGTTTCTCTTGAATTATATGAAAGGACTTGAATTGATCCACTCTCCCCCACTATTGCCATAAACCAAGATTGTTTCCTTGCACAGACATACCCCCCCCCCTTTCGCCAAGACCACCACCTTCGTTACATTCAGAACCTGGAGGTTTTTGGACCAGTTATTTAAAGAAAGTTTTCTTAGTTTAACCTGTGTTTTATTATTTCCCTATAACTCTTAGGTTGCGTTTTTGCTATTGTTGAAATTGGAGGCTAACATCTTCAGGCTGTGGGGCTGGCTTGGGCTCTGGGTGTGAGGACAAAATGCTCCTCACACAAACAAACTCTGTATATTGAATTACCTGAGAGGCTCTTTGAGCTTTGTGTGTTGATTAAACTGTGTAATAAAAACCATGACTCAAGCGTCCACTTGAGTTTCAAACATCAATGGCTGGAGAGATGGATGGATGGAGGACAAAGTGTTGTTCAGCTACTGGTTTTGACCCTGTCATTCAGTTGTTTTCCCCAGCTAAGTTAAAAGGGCATATTTAGGGCTACCAACTCTGTGGCACTAATATGTAAATCATCTAAAACCTTGGCTCTGGGGAATAGCACTTAAATGCCATAAAATGTTACTTTACCACTGGCCTTTACAAGTATCTGCCTGTCAATGCATTGAATCACATCTTAAATAATAGATTGCACATAGAATGAAGAGGTGATAAATAAGTTAAATCATTTTTATGATTACCCAATTTTTCATATGAAATTATACTTATGTAGTAGCCTATGGTTTTTCTCCCAAAATATCTAACTTATGGCTGATTGACAACCTACAGTTACTTTGTAACCATTATGATGATTGGATTGATTGGTCATCGCACCAGTGACGTCGCTCAGTCTGGGCTGGTCCAGTCTGTCAGAAAATACAGGGTTCAGATGTATTCTGACTGACCTTGGTGCGCGAGACCAAAACATCTTACCGGCCAACGGACAGCATGCAAACCCCAGGTTTACCGTTACCTCAACTTCCATCGTTGCAAATGTCAATCCCAGTAGTATTAAAAAAATCATGAATTCCAGATGTCTAAAGGTAAAGCAATTTATTTTATAAATCTCCAAGTTAATGTCTGGATCAGTGAACGTTATGAATACCCATGTGAATAGTCGGTCTATAAATAATTAAGTTGATCAATTCAAAACACTCGCCAAATTTAGCCACTCCTCCATGCACTGTAAGCACAAGTGGAGTTATGTAGCCTGGATATAAGGAAATTGTAATTGTTTACTACAATCATTAGCCAACTGCACCCAATGACACTTTAAAGCACCTGTTGAGACAAGCCATAAATAAACTCTACGTCAGGACAGTGGACACTTACCAATCAATTTAACCAGGTTGTATCCTCGAGTAGGACAACCTTCCCACCAGTCAGCCCAGTGCACCTCGCTACTCTGTCAGGTCGGGTGGCTTGTGTGTGGCCATTGTGTTCAAAAGTATTTGTTCTGCAAATCCTTGACAAGCCCGATTGTTTTCATATCTTTAAGAGCGCTCCATGTGATTGCACTTGGCACGGCCGTGGGGCGCGCGTAAACAACCTGGCCTTTGATCCCGTTACAGATAGTCACTGATTTCATATAGTCCATGGTGTGGCCGGCTATTATTTAGGTACTTCTCGTCAATTAATTTGACTCTATGCTATCTGCCATTATGTTGACCATACTACAGCTGTAGATTCCAACCAGTAAAGCGCTTTTCTCTGTGTTCTCCAGAGCTCATGTTGGCCCAGCGGTGGCCCGATCTCAGATTTCAGAGCAGGTTATGTGGGGCCACGGGCTAGGTAGTGGAGAGCGACTGATGTGGCAGTCTGTCAGGCTGGAGAGCGACTGATGTGGCAGTCTGTCAGGCTGGAGAGCGTGTGATGTTTAAAAACAATGTCTAGGATTTATATTCTAATCGCCATGGTAATGTACCATAGTAGGCTAATGTAGACCTGCCTATCTGTTCACATCTTAAAATAACAGGTGTTTAGTCTAGCCACATTCCTTGTGTTGCGATACAGTAATAGCCTATGTGCACATATATTCATGGATTAAGAACAACACAGAGAAGCGTTTTAGACAGGATCTGTCCTATAGGTCAGAAAGCGGACCTTGGCTAATAGTGTTGTTTCTAGGTTACAGAGCAAGGCCTGGTCTTATGTCAGGTCAAAATCCTTTCTGCATTTCCCCTCTGACTTTTCTAGTCCAGGTTTCAAAGTAAAGCCTATAGGAATATATAGTTTTAATGTCCAACAGAGATACATTTTCTACTGAATATGACTGACTTGATGGTGATGTACTCTATCGGTCAAAAGTTTTAGAACATCTACTCATTCAAGGGTTTTTCTTCATTTTTACTATTTTCTACATTGTAGAATAATAGTAAAGACATCAAAACAATGAAATAACACATATGGAATCATTTAGTAACCAAAAAAGTGTTGTCTTCACTATTATTCTACAATGTAGAAAATAGTAAAAATAAAGAAAAACCCTTGAATGAGTAGGTCTTCTAAAACTTTTGACCGGTAGTGTATATTGTGAATAAACGTTGTCAAAGTGGTCAGACTTGAGTGTCGACTGTCATTCGTTTCCTGAAGACCTAGAAGGCCGACATTATGTGGTGCTGATTTTATGTCTCGCTGCAAAGCAGGTAATGTGCTCCGATGTCCATTTTACCCATTTATACAATGCAATATTTTCTCTAGCCGCTGGGAGCTGCTCTCGCTCCACTAGCAGGCGTGAGGATTACGATTAGGCAGCCCCCTCTCCATATTACTGCTGCCCATCCTGACGGCCACACACACTCAGCCTCACACCACAACTGGATATGTGCCAAACAGGGACTCTCACAAGAGGTGGAGTGGACTATGCGGTACACCTCTAAATGGGCCCCTCTCCGCTGATGGCGAGTACCTTGTTTCAGTCCGGCTTCCACCACCATCACATGACATAGGAAGGAACACACACAACATACAATCACTTACCTGCCAGTCAGATGAATTTCATTCATGCCAGAAAGTGATTTCTCAAACAGTTTCAAACAGCCTTTTCCAGTTTCTTAACAGGGATCTATTTCAATCAAGAGTTAATGTAGGCATAAGAAAACATTTCCTGTCAATGATTTATTTTTAATGACCACTTTGGCGTTATCTTTCTTTCTGTATGCTTTTGTAACAGTTTATATGACGACACAGAAATGAACATAGGAAGTTGCTGTTCAGACACATTGTGGTCATTTTCTGTGTCTCACGACCATGACTCCAGTTCGCTTTTTGTGTGACGCCCCCCAATTCTATGAAGTGTGTTTGCGTCTTCCGCTCTGCGAGTGGCGGGGACGAGGAGGTGGGAATTCGAGACGGTAAAGGCGAAGGACCTATGCAACCACTGAATTGGACACATGGTTTACGGCTCCCTTTTCTCTGTTGATTACTGTAGATTGATGTGTGTATTAGGTGACAATTTCTTATGATTTTTTTTCTGTCTCCCTTTATTCGTGGAAGACACCACGGCACCACGGACAAACCACTGGACAGTGGGGCTCTGGTCAGCTCGCATCGCATTGGTAGGTGTACGAATTACGAAAGGCTGTGATAATATCATGTTAATAATATATTGAAGAGAGATATGACCTATTCATACTTTTACAATATTATCAATTGTAAGAATTACATCACCCGAACACCCACGTTATCGTTTTGTGAGGAAATATACCGTATTTTATTTATCCACTGCGACTGTGTCGTGCACGCGCGTATCCTGGACTGTCACAGAGTCTAGACAAAAGGTATTTTCTTATCCTATACGAACTCGATGGCATTTAGAGGTAGAGATGGTATTTTCTCAAGCCTGGCCAACATCACAACTACAGTAGTCAAATCGAAATGCGCGCTCCAAATTTGACTGGCGCATATGCGCAATAGGCTATTTGTTTGTGGTATTCCATTATTGCATAGATTTGTCCCCCTTGGAACTCAGCTGCAACAACACCCCGGTCTATCTTAACTTAAATGTAGAAAGCGTCACGTTATTCAAAGCATATCGTTTTATAAGCCTCAGATGTAGCCTATATTTTGGACACATTTTACAAGCTCACTCAAACATAGACTAGTTGGCTATTATTCCCTTAATTACGCTTAGGCCTATGTCTTAGGATGTCATCATTGTCTCTCATTCACTAAAAATAAAACCAACCATCAACTAATGCCTCTCTAATAACATCTAGGGCGGCAGGTAGCTTAGTGGTTAAGAGCCTTGTGCCAGTAACCGAAAGGTCGCTGGTTCTAATCCCCGAGCCGACTAGGTGAAAAATCTGTGGATGTGCCCTTGAGCACAATTGCTCCTGTAAGTCGCTCTGGATAAGAGCGTCTGCTAAAAAATTTAAATCTACCTCTTTTCTCCACCTCTCTCCCCTTTCTTTGTCTCCCTCCATATCTCTCATCCATCTCCCTCTGCTCAGCTCCACAGGGTATAAAGGTGGCAGAGAGGATCATGGGAATATAACGGCTGTCAGAGGGTTGTGATTGGCTAACTGACAGCTGGACTGTTGTCACTGTTCTTACCTTGGCATTACCCCACCACCTCCCCACCCCCACCCAGTATGGCAGATACCCTGGACATGTCTGGCCCTTCCTCTCCAGAACAGCATAGAGCCAATAGGATCCTCAGTGAGCCTCTAAGACGAAGCCTGAAGCGTTCTCATCCCTGCTCCCTCTCAGAGTATCTCAACAACACCAACAGACTAGCCCATCACCATAGTAGCTCCAGTAATATGGATATCAGGGGCCTCCTCCACCCCACTGCAGCCCAGCACACCCATCCCAGGCAGACCAAGCCTCGCCGGGCCCCCTCCTCCAACATAGACCTCTGGGACTCCCCCAGTGGGCTTCACCTGGCCCATGCTGCAGAGCTGCTGATGAGGGCTGGGGCCTTGACACTGACCCCCACACCCAGGGACCATGGCCCTCTGGGCGGGCTGGAGGCCGGGGAGGCTGGGGGGGATGGGGAGGAGGTGGAAGGTGGGTCCAGGGCTGAAGGGGACAGCATGGGTTGTGTGACAGACTTCCTCCCACTGCTAGGCTGCTCCTGGATTTCCTTGAACCCAGGCCTGTTTGCTCTGACAGCAGGAGGAGGGGGGTTCCTGACTGGTGGTGGAGGGTCAATGGGAATGGCTGGCGTTGGGGAGGGTGTGGAGGGATTGCGAGGTGAGAACTCGTCCCCTGGCAGCGGGGGGGGAGCCGGGAGAAGGAAGAGGAAGCGATGCGGAGAGTGTGTGCCGTGTCGACGGATGGGGAACTGTGAAGAGTGCAGCGCCTGCCGCAACCGCAAGACCGGACACCAGATCTGCAAGTACAGGAAATGTGAGCAGCTGAAGAAGAAGGCAGCCACTGGGTTAGAGGTGAGAGGAAGTGGAGAAGCACACACCTAAATACACACTATTAGAATAGGCAGTCTGACTTTATTTGATATATAATATACACTGAGTGGACAAAACATTAAGAACACCTGCTCTTTCCATGACATAGACTGTCCAGGTGAAGGCTTGAGACAACTGACACGTGGATTGTGTATGTGTGCCATTCAGAGGGTGAATGGCAAGACAAAATATTGAAGTGCCTTTGAACGGAGTATGGTAGTAGGTGCCAGACACAAAGCTGCTGGGTTTTTCACACTCAACAGTTTCCCGTGTGTATCAAGAATGTTCCACCACCCAAAGGACATCCAGCCAACTTGACACAACTGTGGGAAGCATTGCAGTCAACAGGGGCCAGCATCCCTGTGGAACGCTTTCGACACTTTGTAGAGTCCATGCCCTGACGAATTGAGGCTGTTCTGAGGGCAAATAGGGGGGTGCAACTCAATATTAGGAAGGTGTTCTTAATGTTTTGTACACTCAGTGGATACCTCTGTAATAGTACTATGTTAATTTGTTATGGTCAATGGTCTGGAGGTGTAGTAGTCTGTATCCATGTGTTTGTGTTTTGAGTGGACCACTGCCTTCTGACCCCTCTCCTCTCCTTTCATAGAAGATGGTGTTTCCATCAGGAGCAGTGTTTCCATGGCTACAATAGGATTCCATCCCTCTCTCCCAAAGAACTGCCAGTCAAATTCATTGACTCCGCCCATTTGGAATGTGATCATGGACATTGGCACTCTGGACGTACAAAGAAAGTCAATTCAGATGGCCTGGTTGGATTGGCTTGGAGAGTACAGTACCTTCGACAATCAAAAAAAACATGAAGATGAAAACTCAATGAAGAAAAGAGAAGTCATACCAATGGATTTACATATTGTTGAGCCCAACATGAAGCACCTCATTAACCACAGAGTATTGTTTATTCATTGAAAATGTCATTCCTTTTTACATTCCATTTTGGAACATTTAGTCATGGAAGCTTCTGACCTGGATGTTTCCATATAAGCCAAACCAAGAAAAACAGACGTGGTCATAATATTAGGTTTATGTTAGTTTTATATTCATGTCCAGGTTTATAAAATGATGAGTAGTAGATGTACTTAACTCCTGATTAGTGTCTAGTTCTTACACCTTTACGATCTGCCTTCTGAATAAAGACAAGGATACTGCCTGTCTATGTGTGTGTTGGGGTGAGTATGTATTTCAAGAGTGTCTCTGTGTGTATTTCAGGGGCTGACTGATCCTTCTCCATTTCCTGACTGATCAGTCAGCTCTTGAAATACACACACACACAACCAAAACGTACACACAGAAAATATATGAAAACATGACTCACCACAAACTCAACCCATTCACACACATCCTCACTCTCATTCCCGTTCACACACTTCCTCACTCATTCCCGTTCACACACGTCCTCACTCTCATTCCCATTCACACACATCCTCACTCTTATTCCCGTTCACACACATCCTCACTCTCATTCCCATTCACACACATCCTCACTCTTATTCCCGTTCACACACATCCTCACTCTCATTCCCATTCACACACATCCTCACTCTCATTCCCGTTCACACACTGATTCAATTTTATTCCTGATCATGCAGTATACAGACACACTCGTTCTCACACACACAGTGAAGGTCACATAATATTGTGATTGCAGAGAGAGTCTTGCTCACAGTGAAGGTCACATAATATTGTGATTGCAGAGAGAGTCTGGCTCACACAGTGAAGGTCACATAATATTGTGATTGCAGAGAGAGTCTGGCTCACACAGACCAGGGTGGGGGGTGGTTGGAGGTTGCCGTGACGATGGTTGATAAGATAGGACTTTCTTCCTCCACCGCACGCTCCGGGGGACGGGTGGACGGCGTAACCATGGAAACGGCAGGGTGAGGTGTCACGGTATAATTGGGCCATTGCTTGCACTTCCTGTGTGCCTTCAGTTAGAGAGCCTGTGTGTGTGCGTGTGTGCGTGTGTGTGTGCGTGTGTTTGCATGTCTTACAGAAGTACTGCCAACTCAGGCAAAAAATCAGGTAGGCATGCTATTACTATTCCCACTGAATAAAAAACATGTCCTATTGTGCATTTCTTACTCTCATGGACAAAGGGATTTTATATTCCTGAATCTCCAGTTTCCCCTTGTGCCTTTCCAGTCATTTGGAGATGAATCTCCCTTCCTCCGGAAATCTGTGTCACCCTCTGGCCGCGAGGTTTGGAGCCTCCCCAAACGCCTGCTGAGTCTGGCTCTGCTGCCCTGCAAGATGGCAAGAGGGAGAGGAGAGGGGGAGGGGAGGGGAGAAAGGAGATGGAGAGACAGCAGGGGATGAAGACAGTAGGGGAAGAGTGAAGAAGCAAATAGAAAAAGAGAAATGGAAGGGGTCAGACAGATGGAGAGGTGGAGAGATGGAGAGGTGGAGAGGTGGAGAGGTGGAGAGATGGAGGTGGAGAGGTGGAGATGTGGAGAGGTGGAGAGGTGAAGAGGTGGAGAGGTGGAGAGATGGAGAGATATAGGGATGGAGAGATATAGGGATGGAGAGGTGGAGAGATGGAGAGGTGGAGAGATGGAGAGGTGGAGAGGTGGAGAGGTGGAGAGATGGAGAGGTGGAGAGGTGGAGAGATGGAGAGGTGGAGAGGTGAAGAGGTGGAGAGATAGAGAGGTGGAGAGGCGGAGAGGTGAAGAGATGGAGAGATATAGGGATGGAGAGATATAGGGATGGAGAGATGGTGAGGTGGAGAAATGGAGAGATGGAGAGATGGAGAGCTATAGGGATGGAGAGGTGGAGAGATGGAGAGATATAGGGATGGAGAGATATAGGGATGGAGAGATATAGGGATGGAGAGATGGAGTGATGGAGAGATGGAGAGATGGAGAGATGGAGAGGTGGAGAGATGGAGAGATATAGGGAGGGGAGGGGAGGGATAAAGATGGATGCATTGTTGAAAATACAGACTGCCCTGGCACTGAGTCTGTCCTCTCAAACCACAGTTGGACCGAGCTATGTTAGCCTCTGCAGCCAGCTGCTGCATGGCTCAGTAACGCTACACTGGTTGGATCATACTACAGCAGCTCTAGCAGGGCGCCTTAGAAGAAGAGGCCATTGTTCCTGAATCCTAAAGACACACTTTCATCTGTCCTGGTGGTACATGAGACATGCTTTATTGAGTTGGCAGAGATAGAGTTGTGCTGAATGTGCTCATTTAGCACATTCATATAGCACATAGCCTGTTCCTGTCGCCACCCGGCCGCCAATCGCTAATCAAGTTACCACTAGTCCCTTTTGATCCTTTGTTAACCAGCTGCTGGGAACTCCACTTGTTAACCAGAGCATGGAGCCCTCCTCTCACTGTTTTATTAGGGGCTTCAGAAAAACAACTGTAACCCAATCTCGGATTAATCTATATAGTTTGTAATGCATTCCACCCACACACTTGACCTATGTGTGTGTGTGTGTGTGTGTGTGTATGTGTGTGCGTGTGAGATCTAGATGTAATCCTACCCCAGAGCAGGGTGAAAGGCAGGTCTGGCTGTCCACCTCTCTGGTCACCATGGGCACTGGGACCGTGAGGTGCAGAAGGCTGTCAAAGAGTTCAGGCCTCCCAAACTCACCAAAGTCCTCATCAAGTGCTTCTGGAAACCCTATGGATACCACTCACTATAAAACAACAGAGGATTCCCTTTTTCACCTCTCTCCCTCTTTCACCTAATAATATGCCATTTAGCAGACGCTTTTATCCAAAGCGACTTACAGTCACGTGTGCATACATTTTTACATATGGGTGGTCCCGGGGATCGAACCCACTACCCTGGCGTTACAAGCGCCATGCTCTACCAATTGAGCTACAGAGGACCACCTCTCTCCCTTTTTCACCTCTCTCCCTTTTTCTTAATCCTCTCTTTCTATCTTAAACACCCACACACATTTCTTCCGCATTTTTATTCAGCTGAATTAGAAGACAACAGGTATAATACATCTGAGTATTGCACAAGCAAGTTTCACATACAATATAGAAATAAGCTCCTCAAACAAATGTAGTTAGAGCGCAAATATACTAAACAGAATATGACCAGAAAGCCTATGAGGTTAGACGGTTAGATAATAACAACAACCAATAAAGCAAAAGATCACTAAAAACACGACAGGATGGTTTGACCTATAGCCCAAACATACCATGGCCCTTATTACAGCAAAGGTTTTTGGTTTTTTACATAATTCATGATAGGAAACGTAAAGCTAAATCTTTCCCTCCACCCCATGTACAAATCAGATACAAACCTCATGTAACTATGTAGAAATAGCTCTTGTGTTAACCATGTCCAAACCTCTTGTGTATTTAGGTTCAAGGAGAGTTAGAACTGTATGACTACTATGCAGTCTCCAGGAACCTTCAAATTGAGCCGTTTCACCAGAATACCAGCGTCAAGCATTCCTCCCACTCAGCCGTGCCTGTCCACCTTTAACTCGGCTAAGTTTGTAGCGCCTATTTCTCTGCACCGTAGCTCAGCTGAGTGTCTGTCCGTAGGTCACTTGTGCCTGGTATTCAAATGAGCCCTTCAAGTGGGCAGTACCTCTTCTGTGTGGTTGGTTGACTGTAGGTGACCCTGGTGTTATCTGTTGACTGTAGGTGACCCTGGTGTTATCTGTTGACTGTAGGTGACCCTGGTGTTATCTGTTGACTGTAGGTGACCCTGGTGTTATCTGTTGACTGTAGGTGACCCTGGTGTTATCTGTTGACTGTAGGTGATCCTGGTGTTATCTGAGGGAAGGTTTGGCAGCTAGCTGCAGGTGAGAGGGTTTAGTGGCCACAGGGGGCATGGCGGTGGGAGAGGAGGTGGCGAATGCTCTCCTGAGCTGGGCCACCCGACCACCAAATGCTGGGGTCTCCTCTTCATGACTGACCACCACTAGAGAGGGAAAGGATTGTAGAAATATCTGTTAAGTCAATGAGCTTGAATCGAGTGTAGAATATGTCATACACACACACTTGTGCACACACAAAAACCCATTCTCTCTCTCTCTCTCTCCTCCTCTCTCTCTCTCCCTCGCCTCCTCTGCCTCTCTCTCTCTCTCTCTCTCTCTCTCTCTCCCCCTCTCTCTTTTTCTCTCTCGTCCTTCTCCATGCTCTCTCTCTCTCCTCTCCCCTCGTCTCTCTCTCCTCTCTCATCTCTCTCTCATCTCTCTCTCCCTCCTCTCGCTTTTTCCTTCTCTCTCCTTCCCTCTTCTCTCTCTCTCTCTCTCTCTCTCTCTCTCTCTCTCTCTCTCTCTCTCTCTCTATCTCTCTCTCTCTCTCTCTCATCTCTCTTCTCTCCCTCTTTCTCTCTCACCTCTTATGCTCTGTGGGCTGGCCTTCTCTGTGACTGACAGCTGGGGTTGGAGACTGATGTTGCTGCAGTGGGGTCTGTAGCAGAGGCCCCAGTCCTTTAGGTTGTCTGTGCTGTAGCCTGACATACTGTCGATGCTGTCCTCCCTGGGGTCCTTTGGGTTGCCCTCAGCACTGCCTGAGTCCTGGTCCTCCTCAGAGTCCTTAGAGCCGTCTGAGTCTTCCTGGAAATGGAAGAAGAATGGTGAGCTACATCCTGTATGGTAGTGCTGACATCCTGTATGGTAGAGCTGACATCCTGTATGGCAGAGCTGACATCCTGTATGGTAGAGCTGACATCCTGTAGGGCAGAGCTGACATCCTGTATGGTAGAGCTGACATCCTGTAGGGCAGAGCTGACATCCTGTATTACATTTACATTTTAGTCATTTAGCATTTGGGTGGCAGGTAGCTTAGTGGTTAAGAGCGTTGTGCCAGTATCTGAAAGGTTGCTGGTTCTAATCCCCGAGCCGACTAGGTGAAAAATCTGTCGATGTGCCCTTGAGCAAGGCACTTAGCCCTAATTGCTCCTGTATGTCGCTCTGGATAAGAGTGTCTGCTAAATGAAAAAAATAATAGCAGACGCTCTTATCCAGAGCGACTTACAGTTCGTTAGTGAGTGCATACATTTTCATACTGTATGGCAGAGCTGACATCTTTCTCTCCCTCTCTTTCTGTGTCTCACACACACACACACACACACACACAAACACTTACACTGAGTTGCATCAGTATGGCTGATTGTGAGCTGGTTTGGTGGTTCACTCTGTCTGTCAGTAGAGACACAGTATTGATATCAACCACTAGGTTGTTCATTTCTGTACTCTGTAGTATGGTGTTCGTACAGAGGGTCTGGAGGAGTTTGGAGGATCTAAATTCATCCAGCTCTCCGATCACGCTCACACTCACATCCCCATCACGACCCAACAGCCAGCGCACACTCTTACTGTGACCTGAGGAGACAACGAAACACATAGACACATTGAATATCACACTGTGCAACTAGCACAGATAATGCAATAGAAGGTAACTCTTCAAACCTATCCCCATTTTAGATCCATTGTCAGACTTCATCGATGGAGTCTGGTTGTCGTACTGGTTCCAGCCCAGCAGATGGTGCTGTTGTCTTGTCTATGAACAAACACATCACTGATGTCTGCATTAGCCTAGCTTCCTCTATTGTCCAGTCTATAGGCTCTACACAAACACTGCCTTGGGGTGTTTTAACATATAGTCCTCTTTAAAATATCCAATCTCAGTCCTCTTTAAAGTGAACTCCGGGTTTAAAAAAAGCAAAAGAACTCAGTTATCTTTGTATTCACACTGCCCTTGCCCTTGAATGAGGACTCAACTATTTTGCCAGTTCACCTATTTTGTTGTCTGAGTCCTTTTTGCATTCACATTGCTATGTTTAGAAACGAACCAAGATCTTTTTCTAACATTCACTCAATGCACGCTGGGTTTTTACAAAGTGCAGGACAAGCCATTCCGTGTTATCGGAAGCTAATAGATTGCATGTAGTTAAAATATGAGACATAATAAATATAATCAAAAGATAATATTAAGATGTAAATATTATTGGTAACAGAATAAATAGCAGAAGAATAACTGCAGATTTAATAATTACGTAATTGAAAATGGTACCCTCCTTTAAGAGCTAGCATTGATTTTGTACCCTATGTTGCGATTTTCACATTTACATTTACATTTACATCATTTAGCAGACGCTCTTATCCAGAGCGACCAAATGTTGTTGTCTTCTCACACTATTCAAAGCCCACAATCGAATAATCAGCGTATGAAGTCTCTAGTTACAGCCAGGTCACCATTACAGTAATATGACCACGATACACATGAATTACCCATTTCAATTAATTAATTTCAGTTCAGATAACTGAAAATAAGCCTTTGTAATAAGGGAAGAGCACAATTGCAACAAAAGGTGTGGAAATGTTCAGCAAATCATCTTGGAAATATGTGAAGCATTTGTTAAGCATACAAGATGGACCACAAGCTGTGTCTGTGTGTGTGCGCGCCTGCATCCTTACGTATATGTGTGCACGTGCGTGTGTATATCTGCTCGTGCACGTGCACGTGTGACATTTAGGAGTTGTACTGTGTTGCCTACGTATTATCTTACGTAAAGCAGAGTATTTCTGGGCCATGGGGCTGTGAGAGGAGAATGCAGGGCCTGTGAGAAGAATGTGTAGTGTTTGTTGGTCAACACACCGTTCTGCGGGTTAGTTTGACACCCTGTGTTAAGAGATGAGAGATGACCTGGCCTGGCTTACTGCTACTAAGGTACACACACACACACACACACACACACACACACACACACACACACACACACACACACACACACACACACACTCAGGTGACACAGAGCACAGATTGTGAAGACAAAACGGTAATGAGATATTCGGGGCTAAAAGCAGCGAGCAACACCAAACCAATTCTATTCACTGCTATTCAATCTGCTGGGCAGGCAGGCATGTGGAATGACTCAATCGCTGCTGCTGTGTTTCTGATGATACAGCTCTGATAAGAGGGCTGGGTAGTACACTATACTGTTCTATTAGAACCAATGGAGGGGATAGGTCACATTCTATATCCTATCAGGTAGAGTGGGAGAGAGGGATAGAATGCTGGGTTTTACACATATACACACTGTTGTATTAGAACAAATGGAAAGGATAGGTCACATTCTATATCCTATCAGATA